TTTGCAGTCTTTTAAATAGATAGGCCCAGATACTGATTTTAGGACTGGCTGGACTATCATCTGATACTGCAGAAGGCCCAACCCATACAAAGTAAGCTCCATGGCAATGAGTTGCAAAGCACATCACTTCTTTCCCTGACTGGAAGAACTCATGCAAAAGAGGTCTCTTCAATTTTCTTGTTCTACTACAAGTAAATCTCAGGATAGGTTGTTTACCCTGCTACAAATGACTGCACAGCATGGTGGGAAATAGTCCAGCAGAGATAGAGAGAAGAGACGAGATAAGAAAAGATACTGACTGGCATATGGGTCAAGGTTAAAAATAAGAGACTGAGGTGGAGTGAGAAGAAAATATTTTACCTCCCTCCCTCCTGAACACTGCTGTGCAGCATATTAAGTGCGAGGAAGGCCTCTCTCACCATCACAGTAGGCTTATTGGGGCCCTTTCATTTCTTCAATGCCATTTTGTCACAGGCCACCTGGCTTTTCATTTTCTTCATTGCACTTTGTCTCTTCTCCCCCTCATGGAATCTGAAATGGAACTGTCAATCAAGGACAGCAAAATACTGACTCCCCCAGGTTTCTGGAGCTTAGTCAGTCAGGAACCTGTCTACTCACCAGTAAAAGTCATGTTGAAGAGCTTGTTTACTCTATATAATAATTGAGATGGGAAGAGAAACCAAGCCTAAATGCTTGAGAAAGGAAGGGATGTTGAATTGTATTCCAGGGTTCCTAGAGCCTCCATGAATTTACCCTTTGACAGAAATTTACACTTTCACCCTATTTCCTGAATGTGATATTCCTTCAGAGACAAAAAAAAATCTTATAGCATTTTGACTTCCATCTTGCTCTCTAAGTTTGGGACTGCTGCCATTTTAATTTGAATACAGGCAGTCCCCGGGTTACGTACAAAATAGGGACTGTAGGTTTATTCTTAAGTTGAATCTGTATGTAAGTCGGAACTGGCGTCCAGATTCAGTCGCAGCTGAAACTGACCGCCAGTTCTGACTTACATACAGAATCAACTTAAGAACCCCAGGCGTCCCCAAGTCAGCTGCTGCTGAAACTGATCAGCAGCTGATTCCAGGAAGCCCGGGGCAGAGCAACTCTGCCTCAGGCGGAGCAGCGAGAAAGCCCCGTTCGTAAGTGCGGATCCGACGTAAGTCGGATCCGCGTAAGTCGGGGACTGCCTGTATATGCAATAACATGTCACTTACTTTTGAGATATTTTCTGCAATCTGGTAGCTAAATATTTATTTAGTTTTAATTTATTTATTCTTCTTTGAAAACCATGTTCTTTCGAAATCAGTTCACCTTATCGATAATTTTAAGTTCTGCTAGTGATTAAATTTGTATCTAGTTAAAGGGATGGGGACCTATGGCCCAGCATGCGGCATGTCTTGATCCGGCCCACGAGGCTTGGGCTCTCTCTTCCCACAACAGAGCAAGCCAGAGCTGGCTTGTCCTGCTATGGAGTCCGGAATCCCAAGCGTAACAGGCTGGATCAATGCAAGTTACAGGCTGCATCGGGCCCACGGGCTCTGCCTAGCAGGGGAGAGGAAGTGGTTCTTCATTCTGATGGACCAGGGGCACCGGAGCAGCTTACGAACGGGGCTTTCTCGCCCCGGAGCTCGCAGGTAGCAATCCGCCACTTCGACCTCCGGGGCAAGAAAGCCCTGTTCGTAAGTGCGGATCCGACGTAAGTCAGATCCGCATATGTCGGGGACTGCCTGTACATGCATTTTATCTTTTTTGTTATCTTGTCTTATGCTTTTTCTCTTTAATTTATTATTAACCAAAGGATCCAATTTGAAATCCTTGCCTTTGGGCAATACTGACCATTGCTTGTGCAGCAGCAATTCCTTTTTGGAAATGTAGTAGCATTTCAACACCAAAATAGGAATCTTAATTAGCCTGTCATTTGTTTTCTGTTCAAATGTGTCCCTTCACTATCATCTACTTCAGTCTCATAACTTTTTGGAGAAGTCATTTGCTAAATAAATGATCTTGAATATTTCTGGTTCCTGCGCTTTTTTTTGTAAATCTATTTAGGCACCAAAAGCAAATACAGCTCTTACAGGCCCTCCCAGTCATTGGGTCAAGCAAATAGCTGGCTTGGTAGAAGGATTCAGTGCATCTACACTGCATGGTAGGTTGAAATATGATATGCAATTTGAGCTATCCAAATTGTTTATCTTATTTCAATGGTATTTTGAAATAGCTTATTTTGAAATTTGGCGCTGTCTACACAGCACTTATTTTGAAATAAATCTCTATTTTTCCAAAATGTCCCTTACTCCTCATGGAATGAGGTTTACAGGGATGTCAGCATAGCGAGCCCTTTATATTTTGAAATAATGGGCACACTCAAAAGATGTAGAATAGCTATTTTGGGATACGTCTGGTATCCTGAAATAGTGCTGCAGTGTAGATGTAGCCTCAAAGACCAAATACCTTGGCCTACTTTTATACCAGTTTATTGTACTGTGTTATTAAAAACTAAGGTCAAATCCTCCGGCTCCCATGAGCTCATTTTTCAGAATTTCCTTGCTTGTTTGAAGTGTTCCATCCCATTCAAAGTCAGCATTAATAACTCAAGTGGCAAGTCATTCAGAAGAGAGGAAAGCCATCACGATATACATTGATTCTGAATGTTGGTGTACAAATTTATATTCCATTATTATCCTCCAAAACATCATTTCATGTAAGTTTAACCAACTTATGCACAAGGAACAAGTAGCACTGAAACATGAAGGAAAAAGCAGGAGAGTTCATGAGCTGTGATTCAGCCATACGCCAATAGCTGGCATACCACAGAAAAGGCAAAAATGACAAATCTCTAAGCCGGGTTGCATGATAATCTAACAGGGACCAATATATTTTTTTGGTTTTAAACACCTATGTGGAAAAATTGGTCAGGATTTCTTCGAGAATTAAGATATGACAGCTCGTCTGAAAGACATCTCAAAGTTAATATGTACACTAAATATAAATAAATCCCAGATACAGTCCTGTAACAGGTTTTCAAGGCAATTAAGGGTCAGGGCTACAACAGTTTGTGAGAAATGTTTTCTTCTTCATTTCTGCCTAATTTACAACATAATATTGGAATGCCAATCATTTCTGGTTTGCAAGGGTTTCCAGATAGTATGTTTAGTGAATTTCTAAGGAAATCTTAGACATGCTTGTGACATAATAGCTGATAGTTTTCTCAAAAAAATAAAAAAATAAAAGAGGGGTAATTTAAGTGACATGCTCTTCAATACTGATGGAAGTAAGCTAAACAAACCAAAAATGTCATTGCTACCACATATCAATATGTAAGTCTTCTTTTAGGAACCTCACATGTCTAATTCTCTTTACCACTACTCTGTCTGAAAAAATGATAACTAGCTAGCTGCCTGTGTAATGCTCTTTGAGATATGTGGATGAAAGTCACTCTTCTATGTACCACAAAAATGCAGGCAAAGCTGCCAATGCAACATGATAAGTAGGATGATGTGAATACTTTCATATCATAACAAGATTACATTGCATTCCTATGATAGCCCACTAGAAGCCCTGAAATGAAGTGACTTCTTAATGCTATTCCCATGCATTCTTTGCTCTTATCCTTCATATTGGTATCTACCTTATGGCCATTTTCTCAACAGTGATGATATTAGGGATGTAAAGTCCCAGCTAAGTGGTTAACTGGTTAAACACAGTATTTAATCAGTTAACTGTGGGCGGAGGCTGCTTTCACCAGGCTGGGCCAAGCCCACTGCATCACACCATGGGCAAAAAGGCTACTCCAACTGGGACAGGTCCACTGGAGCAGCCTCCCACCAGTTAACCAGGTAAGCAAGACGGTAAGGGGCATGTTTACCGGGTAAGCAGTTAACCCTTTACATTCCTAGATGATATGCCAACAAATCGTTCTCAAAGAAGCAACTGAAGATGTTTTTACTTCCCTCTTCAATGACTGACTTGAGGGCATTCCTTCTCCTGCTTCCCCAAACCTATCCTTTCCGGAAATCTTGAAGTGATGCCAAAACCAATAGAGCAAAGGATGACATGCAGTCAGACGGTGTTGCTTTTGGTTAAGTGTTCCCCACATGTTGTTTTGATTGTTCTCAGAGGGGTTGGAAATCTTTTTAGTCTCTATTACATTATATAGGCCTAAGTAAAAAGACTAAAGGGACGTCTACACTAGCCCCTAGTTCAAACTGGGAGGCTAATGAAGGCAACCAAAATTGCAAATGAAGTGCGGGATTTAAATATCCCACGCTTCATTAGCATGTCCCCGGCCGGTCACCACTTTGGAAACTGACTAGCCCAAAATAACTGCCCACGTCTACACGCGGCAGAGAAGCACGATTCCAAGATAAACCCCTTAGTTCGAATTAACAGTTAAACCTCATTCCATGTTGGCATATCATCTCAGAATAGCACTTCTCTGCCATGTGTAGACGCAGGCAGTTATTCCGGGCTAGTCAGTTTCCAAAATGGCAACCGGCTGGGAACATGTTAATGAAGCACTGGGTGTCTAAATCCCGCACTTCATTTGCAATTTCAGTCGCCCTCATTAGCCTCCCTAGTTCAAACTAGGGGGCTAGTGTAGACATACCCTAACAGAAAAGGAAAAGTATAATATGTTGTCTAGTGCTATACTTAAAATTTGCTGAGCTTGTGATTAAGCCCCACAGAGAACATTTCTCCATGTACAGCGCATAAAACAATGCTTTTAGATGTACACTACAAAAGTATGTACAGGCAGTCCCCAGGTTAATGGATCTGACTTACATCGGATCCCTACTTACAAACGGGGTGAGGCAACCCTGCACTAGCTGCTTCCCCCCAGCAGACCAGGGAGATGCGGAGCGGCTTTTCTCAGCAGATACCTCAGCTTGAGAATAAAGGACTGAGGGAAGTGAGGTGTGGGAGAATAAAACTGAGCTCTGGAGAAATGTTTGGCTATAGTTTCCCCTTCAGTATGTACCAGTTCCGACTTACAAACAAATTTAACTTAAGAACAAACCTACAGTCCCTATCTGCCTGTATTCGTAACCCGGGGACTGCCTGTATTCCCCTTAGCATGCTGACTTAATTAAACTAAAACAATGGTTTCTTTTTGTGAAGAGGGACACTAGAGTCTAAAACAATTCTTTTTTATATTGTCCAAGAAACTTACATGCCTTCTGGGACGTAACTGAGATAAAAACCATGTTCTATATAATCACTTTTGGATCTAAGAGGCCATGTAAATTTTGGTATTTATAAGAGGTTATTGCAACCTGATTCAGTGCTCAGTAAAGTGAACAGAAAGATCCTCATTGACTTCCTTGGGTACTGGCTTAGGCCTTTTGAGCACAAAAGATTACATGAATTTCCAGTACTTTACAAATATTTGTTTTATACACAGAGACATAGTTTAAAGGGAATGAGAGCCTGCTTAAGACCTGAAGCAAAATGCAGGACAATGTAGCACTTTAAAGACTAACAAGATAACTCTAATTTTTAAACCATAATACCTTCTTCACCTAACTCTGTGGTCACCGGTATTTAATACTGCTAATTCCTTTTCCACAAAAGATTTTTTTTTTTACATTTAAGAAAAATAGCACAGAACTTGAATACTAAAGGTTAATACTGCCCAAACAAACAAAAGCAGGAACACAGGATTCCATCCTATGTTTGAAGTTGTACCACTAAAGCAATAATGTTACAGTACAAGAATGAGTCATCTGTCTTCCATAATAATGAAGATAGCTCAAATTTGGACTGAAAAATAGGCTAAAAATCTATTGCAATTTAACTCTATCTTTTTTCTAAAGAATATTTTCCACAAGAAGCAGAGGCTAAAATCTTCTCTGTAGATGCTGACAATTAAGTGAAAAGGTTTGCGCAAAAATTGTTGTTTTTTTTTCTTTTTTACTGTCAAATTAATATTCGGTGCTGGTAGTGCAACATGGAACTGCTTCTGCTAGACTTGGAACTTCCATCAAGTTTTGGACCATCCCTATCTTTAGTTATGCTTAGATAGGGAACATTAACTCTGGGCAAAACTTTGAAATCCATATGCAGGGAAAAAGATCTATTGTGAGAATTTTGCCTGAGTAAGGATTTCAAGATTAGGATTTATGTGAACATACCATCCTGATATCCACAAGTGCTTGTTATGTGTAGCATACATAGAAATATAGCATCTTTTTGAGCCCTCGAGGTGCAAGTTGGATATTCAGCACGGTGTAACACTAATGGTGATAGAATTCGTAACTCAGTTCCATCATCTTTTAAAGCTTAACAATAGAAAGATATAGGTCGTTCTGCCATTGGAAAAGGAGGTCACTATACAATCTGGGAAGGGTGCAAAGTTGTGAGCTCCTACAGTTTTCACAGACTTCTGTTAAAACTGTCAGGGCTCAACGTTTTTTAAATTCAGGACTTGTATATTATTATTTTCATAACTATATTTTTAGTGTGTAGTTTATATGCAGAAATACAATGATTTGTTCAGAATGATCACTGTAATATAACCACATGTTGAGGCACTAAATGCAGACATATACCACTTAGTAATCTCACAGCTCCCTCCATGAATACTAAAGAGGTACTTCTGTTTCGCTTGTTCTGGTCAGAATACATCTGGTGGTTTCTAAGTAAAAAGAGAGAGTGGCACTTTGGATAGGGCAGAACCCCATTTGACAATACCAACATTGGTGTGGCCTTATCTATAGCTTAATTCTGAAAGCTACAGTTCTCCTGCTGGATTTTTTATTTGAAATTCTATATTAATGTTTCACTCTAAAGCCACCTTTGGAAATGATCAGTGACCTGACACATATGGGAGGCAGCAGGGGACTGGAGTGCCAGCATGGGCTTCCCAATGCTGGGGGAGGTCCTAACCCTCAGGGGCCAGATTCAGGCAACTTAGGTTCCCCATCCCTGCCCTAACTGATTCTGATACGTTCCTACAGTACCTCTATAACTCAGCAGTATTGTCTTGACTTTCTTTGTTTTCCCATCCTTGTCTGATTGCAGTGTTAATCCCAATGAAAATATCTCGTCAGTTTCAGGGGGCACATTCTTATCTTGGTGCCTGTGCATATTAGCACAACAGATATGAACATACAGCCCCCAAATTTCAGCCGACTCTATTCAGTCCACGTTGAAACCAGTCGCTCTTCTGAGGTAAGAATATTTCTGTAGTATGGCACATGTTTAATATATACAATTACACCACAACCGAAACAAAAATGTCTTTAATGTCTACACTGAATAGCTTGACTATGCCTCATTCATATTACTCCGTGCTTGAAGTGGGATGCTGTACATAAGATTCTACTATGTTAATAATGATCACATTGTCTCAATATACAATCTATAATATCTCTAAGTACATTGAATAGGTATGATTTATTTTATAAACCCTGGATTAAATATACTTGTCTAATAATGTCACTTTATATGTTAGTTAAAGATTGGTAAAAATATATATGTATTCAGTCACCCAGTGCACAGGATTTCATAATTAACCCCGAGCCTGCTGCTGCAGTTCAAAATTCTAGTTCTTATACTGCATTGGGATGAATATTTTTTCACTCCAAGAGAGGAGAATGTTCTGGAAAAAATCTTGAAGTGAGCACAATATGCAACAGAAGTAACTCCAATATGACACACACTGTAAGGCCCAGATTAGGTGAATGAGTCAAGCAGTTTCCAAACCCCAAACTTCTCTTGTAAACTTAACGGAAGAAAAGCTCACAAGTCCATACAGCCAAACAATGAAGAAGAAGAGGTATTTGTTCCTTGCTCATATAATGTTACCTCTTTTCCCCTATGCTGCATGATTTATTCCAAGTAAACACCCAAAACCACAAGGTTATTGGCAAAATAAATTTGTATAGGCTATTGTCGTAACTAGGGTGGTTTTCCCTATTTCCAAGTTCTTATATTCTCACTGTCTCTGAATGCTGGATGATCATGACAGGGTCAAAAAGCTGTCAATATTAAGCTGCAAGATAGCTTCCTACAGAAAGGACAAAACTTAATCAATAATATTTTTGTTTGCAGGAGTTGGTGTGTGTTCCCTTTTACAGTGCATTTTAATAGTCACTTCTCCATATTACTTGCCTAGCATAACTTACAAATTCAAAGTGGAAGATTACATTATATTTACAAACAAGTTGGCACTTACAGAATAAATTGTATTTTTTCAACCCAGGACACCCATGTTTCAGGCAGACTAGCATAACCTGCTGCCTGATTACATTATGCTACATTAACATGAATAAATAGAATCCCAGCTGGTACATGACCTTTCCAATGGTTTGCTTGCTGCTGAAAAGCAGGACCTTCCACCCCAATTCACGTTTGATGCTCAGAAACTGTTAGTCCAGTGAAAGCAGAGGCTGCATGTTTTCCTCCTCATTTTTATCCAGGCGTTTCTGCACCCCAGGATCCACCACTGACTGAGATCTGCAAAAAGAAAACATTTGAATTTTCTTGCTGAAGCCAAACAAGAGTAAGTCTCAGCTTTTTTTTAAAGGCCTCAAAAATACGGGTTCAGACAACACAGATATCTTATCACAGCAAGTGATCAGAAATACCTTGATGGAACAAATGCAGGAAAGAACTCAATGTTGGTGTGCTGACACAGGAGTTGAGCACAAAGGGATCTTCTTCTGTTCACACAAACAGCAAGGCAGGATCTCTCCCTAGCACCAAACATGGCACAAGCTGTCTGCTCTGCCCGCTCATGGACTGACCTACTCCACCAAAGAATGGCAGTCTGCTGATAAAGGGACATTTCCAGTAGCCCAACTTGCTAATGGAGCACTGCAGTTGGCAGCATATGTTAGGCATCTGCACAAGTTTCTACTGCTGTTCAGGACAAAATGTGCTCAGCAATGCATTCCACTAAGTCAGTTCCATGGAATCCTGCCATGGCCAGTAGGGCAGATAACACCTCCCTCAACCTTCATTATCAATTTTACAGAGTTAACTAGGGAACTAATGTAAGGCTAAAGTCACTGATAATTGTAAGGCTCTCTGTGAGCCTCAGATGGAAGGCACTATAAAGGTGACAAGCTGGTGCCATAATACCGAGCTGCTGATTAAGTGGTAGATGGTACTTTCCAACACTACTTTCGATGGCTTCATGGGTTCTCATTGGGAACCTTTCATCCTTGACTTGGCCTTACCCTGCACAGCTTTAGAGACTAGACAGCATCACTTCCACAAGAGGCATGGCTTCCAACCTTACCTGTTCATTCCAAAGCCAAAATATTACAAAAGCCAGTCAATAAAAGTTGTGAAGTGTCAGCAGTCTAGTTCCATATTACACCGAAACAGAACTCAAGTGCCTCACAAAAAGCTAAGAACACTGAATCCTGCACTGGATCAAATGCTCTATTAGTTTGAACTGGCACAACTTTCAAGAAAGATGTGGAGAAATTGGAGAGGGTCCAGGGAAGAGCAACAAGAATGATTAAAGGTCTAGAGAACATGACCTATGAAGGAAGGCTGAAAGAATTGGGTTTGTTTAGTTTAGAAAAGAGAAGATTGAGGGGGGACATGATAGCAGTTTTCAGGTATCTAAAAGGGTGTCATAAGGAGTAGGGAGAAAACTTGTGTTCATCTTGGCCTCTGAGGATAGAACAAGAAGCAATGGGCTTAAACTGCAGCAAGGGAGGTTTAGGTTGGACACTAGGAAAAAGTTACTAACTGTCAGGGTAGTCAAACACTGGAATAAATTTCCCAGGGAGGTTGTGGAATCTCCATCTCTGGAAATATTTAAGAGTAGGTTAGATAAATGTCTACCTGGGATGGTCTAGACAGTATTTGGTCCTGCCATGGGGGCAGGGGACTGGACTTGATGACCTCTTGAGGTCCATTCCAGTTCTAGTATTCTATGATTCTAAGACTTCAACAAAGTCAATGAAGTTGTGAGTTGACACCACGAGAGAATTTGGTCCATCTTTCTCATCAAGTACAGACAACAAATAAAATAAATTATATGTGAGATTTTCAGGGCAGGAATTCTATCTGTCTTTGTATAGCTCCTATCACAATAGGGTCCCAAACCTGTTCAAGTCTTTGGCCATCCCTGCTATATATGCAAATAAATAATATTTCTACCCAGTGAAAAAATAAGAATATTTTTTTCCCAATTATAGAAAGCCTCTATTTTTACTTTCACCACTTAAACTTGTCACTGGCATGGCGCTGAATATTGCTAGTCCTGGATCACAACTAGTTCACAAGTAAATAGAATATATAAAAATGTTTGACTACAATATATTCTGGAGCTCTTTTTATTCTTCCATTAATATTTCTTTCTGAACTAAAAATAAAATACAGGCAGTCCCTGGGTTACGTACAAGATAGGGACTGTAGGTTTGTTCTTAAAGTCGGAATTGGTACATATTGTAGGGGAAACTCTAGCCAAACATTTCTCCAGAGCTCAGTTTTATTCTCCCACACCTCACTTCCCTCAGGGTATGTCTACACTACCCTCCTAGTTTCACGAGGAGTACCGGTAGTTCGGAATAGGACCCTAGTCCGAACTACCTAGTTCGAGCCCCGTGTAGCCGCGCTACACGGGGTTCGAAGCAGCGGGGATTTAAAAATGGCGGCTCCCCGCTTATGCTAATGAAGCCCGGGAAATTCAAATCCCGGGCTTCATTAGCAAGTGCGGTATGCATACATTACCCCGCTAGTTCGAACTAGCGGGGTAGTGTAGACATACCCTCAGTCCTTTATTCTCAAGCTGAGGTG